TTCCCCCAGCTGTGAGCCTTCCAACCTTCTAAGTATTCCTTTATATGTGGTTCAGAGTTCTGGGACCATCCCCTGAACCTGCTTGGTTGGGTATTTTGTGGTGTTGTTGGCGGAGCTCTCTGCTATACGTCCTCCCGATCTGCCATCTTGTTTGTTCTCTGTACGTATCATTTTTAAAACCAAATACTAAAGCATGGAGTTTCAAAAAGTATCCTCTGTCTTGATTGAAGTTTGGGCACACAGGTGGCTGAATTGATCCTTAATTGTTGAACCCTTGCCTACCAATTCTTATTGTAGTGTAAGGAGGTCTGGGAGTGGCTAGAAGCTGTATGCAATAAGATTATCCAGTACCTTGAAATTCCCTACTCCAAGTTTTTTGTGTGTGGTGGTTGATAGACTGTTGCTGTTTCTTCTCTGATCACTGCCAAAAATCTGGCCCCCAAGAAATCTCTAAAAACACTGCCTGGCAGGAACAATAGCCTTTTTGACCATTAATAATTTACTGTAGCCATCCTGAGGTAAGTGGATGTAGGCTTTATATCACAGCCATCTCAAAAGGCCACGGGTTAGAACAAAGAGCTCTTAGGAAGATAGAAAGTAATTATGCACAGTCCCTGATTTATGACAGGTTTCCTTTATGACAACTTCATAATTCTGATGTAATTCGAATACCTCTTTTTTTTTTTAGTTTATTTTTGTTATTATTGTATTTTATTATCAGTATCTTTATTAATCTGACCTTTATTTGGCTTTGGAGGTTGGAAACATTATATCTGAGAATAACAACAGCAAATAATACACCACAACATTGTATGCAGTACATATTAGCAACAATAAGAGGTACATCGTAAGTCGGGGGCTACCAGTACTATTTTATTTTAAATCATCTTACTATTAAAAAGAAGCAGTGTCTGGCGCATGTTCCTCAGTCATGCCATGTGTTCTTATCCCAACAGGACTCCCTTATTTCTGAATCTGAGCTCTCCCAGTACTTTGCCCATGACATCCCGGGTCCATTGTCAGACTTCGTGGTGGCGGGCTCTGAGGATGAAGATCACCCCGGAGGTGGCTGCAGCACTTCAGAAGATGGCAGCCTGCCCCCCAGCACCCCCAGTAAGTTGGAGAGCCCCACAGGGCCCTGGGCTCTGCATTCTAGTCACAGCTACAATTTCAGGACTTTTCGACTCCTCACTATAGTCCACAGTGCTACTGTATGAAAACGCCATTGCTCTTTGCTCTAGTTAAGCAAGCACCATTTTTCTCCTCTGACTCAGTCTAGTTTCTTCTTGGAAAACATGGTAACTCTGAAACACTTTGTTAGCTCCACCAATATGCTTACTCCCATCTCTGATGGAAACATTTCAAAGTGGAAGCACATGCTGTGTGTCCCTACATAGAGCAGGTGTTTGCAGAACAGTCCACACCCCTCCTGCCCTGGAGCGGAGTAGACTATGTTCTGGGAACTTGTTGGTTGTCGTTGTTATGTGTCGTCGTCGAACCGGTTCCAAAGCATAGCAACCCTGTGTAGAGTTTCCAAGGCTTTAAATCTTCACTTTAAATTCTCATGTCTCTCTCTCGGGCTCAAACCGCGGACCTTGTGTTTCACAGTCCAGTGCTTATCATACAGATTCACCACACTCCAGGAGCCTGTTGGTGGTTGCCATCAATTCAGCTACGACTCATGGCGACCCCATGTATAAAAGAATGAAAGTTGCCTTGTCCAGTGCCACCTTCATGATGGCTGATGTGCCTGTATCCATCAATACAGCCACAAGCCACAGTGCAATCTGAGTGCCTTCCAGTCGAGGGCCCACCTTCCAGCAATGTAGTGGTCACTATTCTCTTGTGATCCCTAGGGTTGTCATTGATTCATTTTTGGCAGTAGGTCAACATAGCCACTGAAATCTATGCACCCTGAGTGACCCTGCTGGTATTTAAAATACTGGTGACATAGCTTCCAGCATCACAGCGACACACAAGCCACCAAAGTATGACACACTGACAGATGGGTGGTAGTCTAGGAATGTTTGGGCCAGTTAATCAAGCCCCCCATTTTGCAACAAAGAAAGACATCATATGGACTAAGAAGACCCAAGTTCCTGTTGGTCCTGGAGCATCCCTTCAAAATTGTCATTCTCTAGAATATCCATTAGGTTAACCCCAATAGTATGCTAAACATCATGTTGTTAAGTGTCGCCGAGTCAGTTCAATTCGTAGTGACCCTGTATAGGGTTTCCAAGGAACAGCTGATGGGTTTGAACCTCCAAACTTGTAGTTCACAGTCTAGTGTTTATCCTGCATCACTGTACCAGGAGGTTGCAAAATTATATGCTTTGGTCTTGAGGCAGTTCCTATGTGTAAGTGAGGTAGCAGTCCAGAGTTTGGGGTCAAAACCAACAGAAGGTGTCAGTAGGAAAAGAAGAGAGGACCATGGCTGTGCACTCTCTGTAGTTTTCAAGAAGTCTGGTGTCCAGTGGCTGGGGTGTACACCTGGCCTTTGTGAGTGTGTGTACTGATGGGGAAAGATGGGAAACTCAAATTCATCTGACTTTTCTTTCCTGCCCTTCCCTCCTCTCCCCTCCATCTGCACCCTACCAGCTCACAAGGAACCAGGAAAACCCAGAGCCAACAGCCTTGTGGCTCTTGGAAGCCAGCGGTCCTCTGGGCTCGTCCATAAGCAGGTGACCGTTGCCAGACAAACCAGCCTTCCTGGAAGCCCACAGATCCCCCGAAACCCTCTGCTCCGTCAGAGAAGGGTGAGCTGCTATGATGCCAATGGTGCCAGTGATGAAGGAGACTTTGATGGAGAAGGGGACTGTGTTTCACTCCCCGGGAGCCTCTCGGGGTCCAGCAGACCCCAGACGGGGGATGATTCTGGGCGAGTCATTAGAACCTGGCCCAAGGTCATGGAGAGCAACAGCCGGGAGGAAGCACCCCAGAAAGCACTGGTCTGCAAGGCTGCCTCAGCACCTTTGCTTGGCAGTTCAGTGGACTTCGAGGACATGGTGGACTCTCCTTGCCACACAGCCAACCTGCTGGACTGTACAGAGGCCCCCATGGGTGGCCCTGGCTGCTCAGGGAAAGAGGAGCCTTCAGAATGGCCGAGTTCACCCCAAGTGGAATACAAAGCCAGTCCAGGTGCTCGGAGTCTGACGAATACAGAGTGTCCCTGTCCCCCACAACAGAAGAATGAGCACTTGGGGTCCAGGCACAAGCCGGTGGCCAGGATCAGCCCACACTGCAAGAGGCCTGCAGCAGAGGTCAGGCCCCGGGGTTCAGAGCCAGCACATCTGCCTGACAGGGTCGATGAAGCGTGTGGTCCAGACTCAAATGTCCAGGCTACTTCCTTAAAAGTGACCATCACTGGTTTTCAGCCAGGAGGAACTGCAGAAATGGTAACTGTCTTTCTCTTTTTTACTGTTAATCTGGTGCCTGGGTGGTATTGTGGGAATTAGGGACCGGTGTAGGGGCAAGCCTAGGGTCATCTGCCTCAAAGGATAATGATTAGCAAATTCTCTTTAAACAACATCCCTCCTTTATTCCGTTGACTGCTTAGGAGCATCTTACTGTATTCACTGGTGGTTAGGAGGAAAGGGTCCTGTTCTTGATTCAGAAGGTCATGGGGCCAAAAGGGATAGCCCATCTTTTACCTGTGTGCAGGCCTGTGGCTAATGATGGAAAGGCAATGTGATGTCGGTGAAGGCAAACCCTGCCCTAGGTCTGGCGTTGGCTCCTCCACTGATGAGGTGGAGAATGTGTGGGAAAGTCCCGGGACCTTTCTGAACCTAATTTCCTGGGCTGGAAAATAGCAAAGGTGCTCTCTACCCTGATCACTTCCCAGACTTGTTACTATTAAGTGTCGTCGAGTCAGTTCTGACTCATCGCCACCTTCTATAAGGTTTCTGAGGAGCAGCTGGTGGGTTGAACTTCCAGCTATGTGGTTAGCAGTCTAATGCTTATCCTACAGCATAGCCACACCAGGACTCCTCTCAGAGTTGTGGTAACCATGGAATCTGTGTCAACAGTCATTGCCTCTAGCTGATAGGGTTGGAAGTGATCCTTGTTTCTCCAAACATTCAATCCTGATGACGTCTAATTAGAGCGACTCTACCTCAGGAGGGACCAGTCACTGGAGAAGGATATCATGTTTAGTAAGGTGGAGGGTCAGAGGAAAAGAGGAAGACACCAACGACATGGATTGGCCAAGTGGCAGCATTGATGGACTCAAGCGTGGCAACAATAGTGAGGTTGGTCCAGGATCGGGCAGTGTTTCATTCTGCTGTGCATAAGGTCGCTATGAGTCGGCACTGACTCCATGGCATCTAACAATAACAACAAGCTTATAGCATCATGTGAACAATTGGGGGTACATTCACTTTTCTATTTAAATTGCTCCACATGTAACAGAAGTTAATATTTATGTTGCTACTTGGTTACAAAGAGAGTGCAGTGGCTCCAGAGGCTAAGCAATGGACTTTGAACCACAAGGCCAGCAGTTCAAGCCCACTGGCCACTCAGCAGGAGAAAGATGAGACTTTCTGTTCCCACAAAGCTTTACAACCTCTTAAGACCCTATACTAAATGGACAATTCTTAATAACACCACTTGGTTACAAATATGTTAGAATGTTCCAGAATTATCAAATTGCTCATTTTCTAAATGTCACTTTCCTTTAAAAAGGAACAAGTAAAAGAAATTAACATTGTGTGTGATCTCATCAACGTAAATCACTTTGCTGGTTCTTAACAAAGAATTCAGAGTGACATGTAGGGACATCTTTATAAAGATGTTGCTATGAAATTACATGTAAATAAACTCAGAACATGTAACTTCATAAAAACTGTAGGACACTGTAGGAGGCAGAAGGCTACTTTTTTTTTTTTTTTCTTTAAAGGTGGAGAGTGTACACATCTTTTTTTCCTCTTAAAAAGCATGTTGTTACCTCCAATCACCATATAATTTGAATGTCCAATGTTTTAAAATGTAATGTTCAGCCAATGGGTAAATTCCTTTTTAAATTCTCTTTTTTTTTTTCTTAAATCGCAATAAGTTTTAAGTAACCATATCAAGCTAAATCAAGATTATTTTTCACAATAATTTATGTCTATTAGGAGTTTTTGTGAATAAATATTCCTCAATAAGAACTTTTCAGTAGTAATTACAAGTCTTTAAAAAAAAAAAGAGGCTGAAATTTTGCTACAAAAAATTTCTTTCTAAATGTGATTGTATTTATTTATGAGAAAGAAAACGGAATGCCATGTATGAAATACTTGTCAAATATTAAAAGATTTACAAAAATATTTTCTACTTTGGTAAGTGGGTTAACTTCTATTTTATGTTACATTTGTGCCTTCCTAGCAAATATAAAATAAAGGGATTTAAATCCTGTGCAGGTTTCCCTCAGTCAGTAATTGTCATTGTATTTGTTGTTGTTGTTAAGTGCCGTCCCATAGCAACACTATACAGGGTTTCCGAGGCTGTAAATCTTTACAGAAGCAGAAGGCCTCATCTTTCTGCTGCAGAGCAGCTGGTAGTTTCGAACTGCTGACCTTAAGGTTCGCAGTCTGATTTGTAACCACTATGCTACCAGATCTCCTTTGGAATTGTATTTAGGACACGATTTTTCAGGAGTAGCTCCAAGATCTCTGCCCCCTTTCACTACTTTCCTCTAGTGCCACCTATGGGCCACTGTTATAACTCAGCGGGGAAATGTCAAATCAGATTTAATTTTTTGAACAAATTTATTAAAAAAAAAATTATGATGGATATTAGATGACAGGAAGAAAAAGTAATTGATAGCTGATGAACTGTGAAGTTTACTTACCCAGATTCATTCTTTTCCTCACGACCTAACTGAGGAACTGAATTTACAGTCATGGCTCTGCAATAACATATAGTTAGCCTTTGACATACTACATGCTACTTTTATAGCTGCTATCTCATTTTTAATCATCTTTTAAATGTCTATGAGTCAGACAGCACAAGTCTTATCATTCCCCATTTTAAAGTTGAGAAACCTGAAGCTTACACAAGAGTGACAAGACCATGTAGTTTCTAGTGGATTTAAGAGCAGAATCTTGAATGTTCTGGCCCCTCGTCCAGGCCTCTTTTGAATTTTACCAAACCAGCTCTCCTATGTAATTTTATGTTGCGTTATGATGCAAAAGGCCTAAAAGCTATTGAAAGTGACTTGCAGTTGTTCATTGTGCCAGGAATCTCTAAGAACGCAGACCACTGAGGCTGGGTGCATCTCTCTGGAGAGTGAGCTCCCTGGGGCCCTGTCCCACCCTGAAGCCAGCCACCTTGCAAAGCGCCTGCCCGAAGCTGGACAAGAGGGGGTGCAACAAACTGTGGCTGGTAAGATCATTCTGTCGTTTGCTGAGCTTAAAGACAGAAGCGTTCTGAGTGGAGAATTTTGAGCAGGGGAGGTTGGGGAGGAAAATGTGTGAAAACTCTAAAGACAAAGTATATGTAAAAGTTACCTGCATTTAGGAGTCTGAAGGTGGTGCAAATGGTGACTGCCCTTGGCCGCTCACTGAAAGATTGGGAATTTGAACCCTTCCAGATGTGCTTCAGAATAAAGTCCTGACAAGCCATTGAAAACCCTGTGGAGCACAGTTCTGCTGTGACACACACGGGGTTGCCATGAGTCAGAACCAACTCAACAGCTACTGGCTACCTGCCTTTACCAACTTTGGTGGTGGTGATGCTGTTGGTCACCGAGTGGATTCCACCTCAGGGTGACCCCACGTGATACAGAGTGGAATTGCTCCATAGCATTTTCTTGATGGATAGGAGCCCTGGTGGTATAGTTTCTAAGCACTCGGCTACTAACCATAGGTTGACGGTTTGAACCCACTCAGTGGTTCGGCTCCAGAAAGCCTTGGGGGATCTGCTCCCATAAAGATTCCAGCCAAGAAAACCCACTGGGGACATTCACTTAGTCATATAGGGCCACTATGAGTTGAAATTCAACTCGGTAATGCTCATTGACAACAATTCTAACAAAAGCAAGCCACCAGGCCTATCTTGAACAGGTCCAACGGATGGGTTCAAACCACCAACCTTTAGGTTACTGGTCCAGTGAAAGCCATCTTTGCCACTTACCAAAAATAACCCAAACCCCGGGCTGTCAAGTTGAATCCAACTCAGCAACCCCATGGGGCAGAGTAGGTCTGCCTTACGGGGTTCCAAGACTGTAAATGTTTACAGCAGCCACCTGCCACAGCCTTCTGTGGAGCGGTGAGCGGGTTCACTATAGGACACTCTAGGAGGCAGAAGGCTACCTTCCCATTGGTATTAAAGTGCCTTTACCACTGTGTCACCGGGACTCTTTTGCGACCCTTAGAAACCGCATAACGACTTTGCTAGATCATTGTCCTAAGCTCATCATTTCCATTCCATGTTGAATACATCCATTTTCAGTCAGCTAACAGCACTGACCTGTTCTTTACAAGTGTCACGATGAAGGCTTATGTGAAATGAAATGCATTAGGAAATGATGATAACAACCATCCTGGAGAAAAAGCAAAGAGATCAATGTAGGAAAGCTGCATCCGTGGGGATGGGAGAGGAGGGAGAGAAAGTATTGAGCCACCAGCTCAAAATCGTCTAAGAGGATTTTTGCAAAATATAGTTTTAAAAAAATCAAATGGAATTGAGTGACTTAGGCCTTCATTGAGAATGTATATCCTAAACGTGCCATTTTTTCCAGGGGGGGTTGGGTGAGAGGAGGGGACTTGTAATTGCAGATGAGCTTCTCTGGTATGGGCTCACCAGCTTCGGTCATCAGGTACAATAGCAGATTGATGGTGGTAGAGCAGAACAAGGTAGGCCTCATTGGTTAGAAGTGTGCTGTGGACTGAAAACTGGGAACCCCTTAATATCCGCCCCATACTTTGTCAGAAAAAGATACAGGCTCCTAATAGCTCTGTTTTGTGATCTGAGGCTTTGGTCCTTGGTAAGTGAGGAGGCTATCACTGTGGATTGTATCTGAAGACTTTATGGTTGAGTCCTTCACTGAACAAACCTGACACAACTTGTGTTTGTATTTTGGCTTTATTGCCAAGCGTGTTGTGTGTTGTTGTTGTTGTTAAGTCACTTCGGACTCTCAGTGACCCCAAGTACAACAGAAGGGAATACTGACTGGTCTGCACTGTGCTCATAAAGGAGAGGGAGATCCCTACATTACAATCATACCTTCAAAATACTGCTTCATTTGAGGCCAACACCTTTGTAGGGTTTAACAGTGTGATGATGTTGCTGTTAAATGCCATCGAGTTGGTTCAGACTCATAGCGACCCTGTAAAGGGTTTCCAAGGTGGATTTAAACCACTCACCTTGTGGTTCCAACTGACCTTGCAGTACAGTGCTTTATCCCACAGCACTGCCCCAGGCTGTAAGTCCTGCACAAGGATCATCTGGAAGCTTCCATGGAATTCACAGTTAACTTGCACTCTACAAAGTGGGAGGAGCAGGAAGTGTTGGTTATCCTGCTGAGACCAACTAACTTGCGGTCTAGTACAGAAAACCCTGTTTCTCACCACTTGGGGAATTGGTTATTTTAGGTGGACAACATCTGGAAACTGAGGCTTTGTACCTTAAATAAATGAGTTTTTCCATGCGAATGTCCTGTGTGAGTGGACGTTTAGTCACCCCACAGCCCCTCTGGGATGAGCTGACCACCCCAGTGTTCCAAATACTTTGTACTTCGCTGTTGTAACCCTGATCCTTGCACTGAAGTTATTGGTGTATTGTCTGTCTTCTGCCTTCTAGACTTCTCTACTAGTTATGAGTCATGAGAAAACAAAACCTGATGAGCAACCAATAAATACTAATGCCAGGAACTGATTACATTGAACATATGTATGATATACAGTTAATACATAAAGAACACATTCAAACATAATATATTGGTTATTATTTAATACCCCCTTGATGTGCAGGGTCTTTGTCGAGTGGGGAGGAGGGGTGTTGTCTCTTCAATTGTAGAGACACCATGGCGCCCTCTAGGGATTTCGAGGTGTATCTGAAGCATTTGGGCAGCATCGATATCCCAGTGAAATTGTCTCTCGCTTCTGTCTCCTTTTTGTAGAGTTCTTCTCTCTCCTCTATAGTTAAAAGGCTCTTTGACCTATTGATCTTGCTGACAGTGTGGTCTTTTTCTTCATGTTGATAGAAATGACTTGGCTGCTTTCCAGTGTATAAGAAGTGTCAAAACATACCCTGCTGTAAATGAAAGATCATAAAATATATGTGATAAAAGAAGCAATACCTTTCAATTTTTTCCTTTTGTAAGTTTCCAAAGTATATGTACACAGGGTGGTAGTTAAGCATATGGACACAGGCTGCCTAGGTTCAGATCCCAGATCTACAACTGACTGAGGAAGTGACCTTACACAAGTAGCTTACAGCCTAGGTTGCCTACTTCATGGGTTGTTTAGAGGAATGCCTTTACTCATGTACAGCATGTATATACATGTGTGTTTGTGAAGAATTTCCTAAAATATATACACTGACTCCTCACTTAGTGACTCTGGTTATCCAACACGTCACACTTGCAACACTAGTAAAGCATCTATCTATTTTGTGCATGAACGATGTACTTCTGGCAGCAGTGACGCCAAGGTGGGAGGTTAAGAGTAACGCTGGCTGTGGTGGTTAAGGCTTCGTGTCAGCTTGGCTGGGCATTGCTTCTCAGTGGTTTGGCAGGTATATGATGATGCAATGGATCAGGATGTGTTGCTGCTGTTGTGAAGTGCCGTTGACTTGGTCCCGACTCATAGCGACCCTTTATAGCGTTTCTGAGGAGCTGCTGGTAGGTTTGAACCACCGACCTTGTGGTTTGCCGTTCAGTGCAGCGCCACACCAGGAGTCCAGCATATAAGGATGTAGTCATCTACAGTTTTGTGATCTGATGTGGTCATTCCTCCGTTTTTGCAGAACACTGATTTTCACATAACAGTCTGGTCTTTGGAACCTAACTGTGTCAGTGAGCAGTGGGCACATAGCTAGGCACTGATGGTCAGTGGTAGAATCCTCACCTCCCATGCAGGGGTCCTGGGTTCAATCCCCAGCCAGTGTACCTCAGTACACCTACAGTGTACACAGTAGACACCTGTGTGGTTTGATAGTGCTGTACAAGTTTCAACAGATCTTCTAGACTAAGACTAGGAAGAAAAGCCTGGTGATCTGCTCTAAACCTCAGCCAATGAAAACCCTGTGGATTACAACTGTCGGAGCCTAGCTCAGGATCAGGCAGCATTTCATTGCTGTCCATGGGGTCTTTGTGAGTTATGAGCCAACTCGACAGCATTATACTAATATATAACATGTAACTAGCAACAATAAAAAATATGTAAAACTGCTTAGACTATGATGTGTATTCAATAATGCACACACATAAATTATGATTTTGCTTTAAGAGCGTGTTAGAATTGACTAGGATCCACGCAGGTGAGAACAACCAGCTGAGATGTGTTGGTGATGAGGTCTGATTCGTGTAGCCAGTTCAGCTGCCCAGCAGTGTGGATTCTCAGAAGAGATGGTGATGGCTAAAAGAGCAGCCAGAAGCTGTTGTGAGGATAGACCTGGAATTGTGTAGTCAGTCAGACTCCTGGTTTGCCAGTAAATTTAAAAATAATGTCAACAGGAAAAGAATACATGTCTATATAGAAAAACCTAGAAATCAAGAGGTGGCGGGGGAAGATCAAAATTACCCAAACCCTGAGATAATCTGTTAATAAGTTGTTAAGTGCCGTAGACTAGATTCTGACCCATAGTGACCCTGTAGAGGGTTTCCAAGGAGCAGTTGGTGAGCTTGAACCACCAATCTTGCAGTTCAAACAACTTTGCGGTTTGACACATTAGTCCACAGTGCCACGTTAATAAGTTAGTATCTATTTTACATGATATGTATAAAACAAATACATCAGTCCTGTTGTTAAATACCATCAAGTCATTTCCAACTCATAGCGACCCTGTAAAGGGTTTCTAAGGAGCAGCTGGTGATTCTGAACCACCAACCTTGCAGTCCAAACCTACCTCATCCTACAACCACCACACCGGGAGACTCCATAGCAATCCTGTTTTCTTTTTTTCTTATAGAAAGAAGGGAGGAAAATCACTGTTTTCTTTTTAATAATAATAATAATAAACCTGTGGTGAAAAGGCTTACTGGTCTGAGAGAAACTGATGAAAATGGGAGACTGTGGCCCTTAGGTACCCTTCAAAGTGGGAACTGAACCCACCCCTGGGGATCAACTTGAGTCAAATAATACACAAGCTGAGAGGAATGTGCTTCTGAATACATTCAACTACACAAGACCAAAAAGCTTTGTTTGCCCAAAAACAAAGCTCACAAGTCAGGAAGGGTCAGGAAAGAAAGAAGAATGGAATGGGAACCCTGGGAGGAATGAGGAAGATTGAGGGGTTTGCAACCAATATCAGGAAACAGTATCAATAAACATCATTGAATGGAAAATGAATATGCTTTGTAAACCTTAAAGCACTTGGTTTCATCCCCTCCTTTGGCCCTGTTGCTCCATTCCCCCATGTTGGGAGCCAGCAGGAGTAGGAAGGACATGCTGAGGGAAGACTGAGCACAGCTTCCATCAGAGAAGAGCTGGGGTCAGGAGGGCCTGGGTCTACGTCATGGGAGAGCACGTCCAGTACATGTGGGTCTCCTCATGAGTCCAGCCTTGCTCTTGCCAAGGACTTGATACCCAGAGGCCACGTGACTGGGCTTTAGCTGACTGTGTGGGCAGTGGTGTCTGCTTTGTGGGGTGATCCCTGGCTCCACCTATGAACCCTGGGAAGCTCTTCAGTTAAGAGGACCCACATGTAACAAATACCACTCAGCTGCAGAACTTGCAGACCCGTGTTTAACCACTCTACCTAAGCACCTAAGGGTCCCTGGTGACACCAAGGGTTAAGCACTCAGCTTCTAATGGAAAGGTTGGCAGTTCAAACCCACCCAGTGGCTCCATGGGAGAAAGACAAAACTTGGAGATCTGCTCCCATGAAAATTATGGTCGAGGAAACCCTGTAGGGCAGTTCTACTGTGTCATGTCAGGTCACGCTGAGTAGAAAATCATGCTGAGTGACAGCCCCGAACAGCAACCCGTGTGATCTCACTGCTGCAGTGATGGTGGTAGGGCCCACCTCCCATCAACTACTTGGAGCACACAGTATCAATCCTTCTCTGTCTTCAGAAACATTCTTAGCACAGTGCTAAGACCTAGTGTCATTAGTTCCTCATTAGGAACACGTAACAACTCCAAGAGGAAAAAGCAGCCTACCACCAAGACGGTGGGGTTGGGGGACCTGGAAGTGGCTTCAGCACCTGGGGTATAGTTCAGTAAAGAACTATCACTGGGACTGAGGTTATGACTTGCACTTCAGACCTCAGAAAACGGCTACCGTCATGTCACTGCCAGGTTAGCTGGTGACTTCAGGGCCACGTGAGGAGATGCTGCAGGCCAGTGTGGCTGTGGGACCCACCTCATAGAATGACCTGACTGCTCACTGTCCTAGCACATATCCTCCTTCCCTGTCCCCTCTGAAGGATCCTACCTTCTGGCTTCACTGCTTTCATTTCATTTTCTTCCTCATCTTGTTCTTAACACACTCTGGTCACCCTCCTGAACCGCACTCAAGGCCCCACCCTCTCTGTCAACACATTGTCGTGGAGTTGATCCTAACTTATAGGGACCCTATAGGATTGAGTAGAACTGCCTTCTAAGGGTTTCTGAGACTCTCAATCTTTATAGGAACAGACAGCTTCATTGTTCTCCCTCAGAGTGGCTGGTGGGCTCAAACTGCTGACCACTGACCACTTTAAACACTACATCACCAGGGCTCCTTCCTACTATGGAAACTCCCAGAATGATCTAGCAGAATTCCCCTTCCGCTGCACAACATATCCAGACCTGAAAGCATTCTAGTAGTACAGCCCGTCCCTTGCATTCCATGTGGTTGCCAAAGGGAGCTACAGTTTGAAGCTTGGACTGTTGAACATGTTACTGTGGACTCCAGTGGGGTGCTGCACGATCAGCATTGGACTACGAACCACAAGGTTGACAGTTCAAACCCACCAACTGCTCTTCAGAATCCTTGTAACGGAGTCCTTATGAGTTGGAAGTGACTCGATGGCACTTACCAACAACAGTGCTCACAAGTCACAGTCTGGGCCTGAACCCACACAGGGTCACCTGATGCTGTCCACAGACACAAAGAGAAGCCCGGGGCTTTTGCTGCTGGGTGAATGCTGATGAGTGGATATGTAAGGAAACCCAAGCTAAAGATTTCTGGGGTCCCCAGCCCTTCAACATAACTAGAAGAGAAAGAAAGGGCAGAAACAAAGCTCCTCCGAGTTACCTTAGCACACCTTAGCAGGCCAGTGTTTGTAAGACGTGCGTCCTCTAACTGTAGAAATACGAGAACCACAAAGACAAGAAGGCTGCCATTTTGGTTATGAAATATGACTCTGGAAAAAAAAGTTGAGATTGCTTATGCTTTTAAATTTTATTTTATATTTTTTTTAGGTTTCACATTTTCTCAAAATTTTCCTTTTGTCTCTCCTCTCACCACCCGGTCTTTTGTTTAAATTCTTGATGCAGGACTGAACCTCGTCACATCCCCAGGGAACAAGGGGGCTTGTTCCGACCCCAGCAAGGTCTCGACAATTAGGGGCAAAGCCTGTCTGCCTGAGAATGCCAGCCAGCGTGCGTGGCCCACGGTATCCCCTGGCGAGGCCAGGCCTGCAGTCCGGCTCATTGGGGACCCCAACATGTCCCCAAGGAAGGAGATAGTGGCTCTTCCTGACTTCAGTCCACCCGGAGCAGCCTTTGAAGCCAGCCAGTCTGCCAAGGCCAGGACGGCAGCTGCCCTTCAGGGAGCCAAGCCTGAGGCAGAGGGAGCGTCTCTGTCACCAGACTTTGTGGCATTCCATGGGAAGACACAAGAGCAAGAAGTACAAGGGAACCACGGCAAAGTGTTGGCAACAACAGAGACCCGCATTCCTGGAAACTCCAGGAAGTTGGCTTCTGTGTCTGAGGAGGCGACCACGGGGGCATGTGGCAGCGACTCAGGCCACTGCTGCCCAGGGCTGCAGAGAGAGGGTCCTGGGACCAGCAGGGACAGAGACCTCACGGAGGGCCCGGCTTCCGAGTCCCCTCAGCCAGGGTACCCAGCAAGTGCCGAGGGCCCCTGTCAGGGTGGATCCAGCCCTGGGAGCTCCTGCCATGCCACGCTGGCCACTGGGAGAGAAGCCCCCTCGCTGAGGAGGGCCCCTGCCACTGGCCCACCACCTGGGGCCCCCTGGGCATCTCCGCCTTCAGTTTGGGATTCAATTAACCCTGACAGACATTTTACTGGGAACAAAAACTTCCTGAGCAACTACTCTAGAAATCTCAGCAGCTTTCACGAAGACAGCCTCTCCCTGTCAGGCCTGGGCCATAGCACCAAGCCATCTCTCTCGTCCATGTATGGCGATGCTGAGGACTCGTCCTCAGATCCCGAGTCACCCACAGAGGCCCCACGCCCATCCACCAGGGACAGCTGGTCGCCACCAACTTCTCCTCAGTCAACTCGAAAGGAAGATACTACAGAGTCTGAAGAGGAGCAAATTGAACTTTGTTCCACAAATGGCTGCTCCTGCCCACCCTCAGTGACTGCCCGTCCACCTGGCCCGGCTGCCCTGTCCCCTGTGCCAGCCACAGTTGTGCCATTGAAACGCAGTGCTCTGGGTGGCTCAGCAGGGGACCCGGGGGACAGAGCCACCTTCGTGTCAGGGGCATCAATACCAAGTCCGTCCCTGCCACCCTCACTCGGGGATATCCACTCTCAGGGGCAGGGGACTCCTGGGAACCACAGGTCCTCGAGTACAGAGGAGCTGCTGGTGGTCACCAGCAGTGGCTCGGCAGTCTGCAGTCAGGGTCCCCTGGTCAGTGTCTGCCCTCCTAGCCTGGTGAATGGAGTGGCCTCAGCCTGGCTGGGTGAGGAGACCCCAAACCAACAAGAAACAAATGTTAATACAAGTGGAGATGGCTCTGACACTAGAGATCCTGTGGCAGCAAAGGTACCCATCTCCCAAAGCCAGATTCCAGGTGACCTGCTGCAGAAACCCAAAATGACCCCCAGGAAGCCCATCATGGCCTGGTTTAAAGAAAGAAATAAAAATCACCAAGGTAGCCATTGGCCGAGCAAAACGGAACAGGAGCCATCCACGGTGCCAATCAGAAGCCCTGACTCCAAAACTCAAACAATAAGTTTGAGCCACAAAAAAGGCGTTTCAGGGCCTAACAGCCCCCCTCCACTGAAAATCAACCTTGAGAATCGAGACCCACCAAAAAAAAGTTCAGGGGAAACACTGGCAAGTAACTGCCCAAAACCCAAATCTGGTGCGAAGCTGAAGAAGCTCAGCATCAACAGTAAAAGCCAAGTCCGGGCCGAGGTCCCTGCTGCTAACACGGCTAAGGCTGGCGGGGTGGACTCCCGGAAGGCCCAGAAAGGGCTCTCTAAGGTAGCTGCCTATCGATCTCACACAGGTGTCCACGAGGAGCTTGACAAAAGTGCTGCCACCACCACCAAGTCCCCCAAGTATGGGATGGAGAGTAAGGCGCCCCCGACCGCCTCTGGGTCACTGACGTCCTCAGGGTCCGACACGAGCATCAGGATGGTCATCTCGCCCCTCACCTCCCCCAAGGCTCTGCCCGAGTCAGGTAGCCCCAGGTCCCCCAGATGTGGAACAGCCAGTCCTACAACAGCATCGAACGGCAGCCTCGGCACCACGGAGAACGAGTATAACCCTCAGCCTCCTGGACAGAAAGACTCCCGTACATCCTGCCAAATGGCTTCAGGGACAGCCGCCCAGGCTAGCGTGGCCAGTGATAAAGGGAGTCGAGTCATTGCTAGTGATGCCCAGGACAGAACAAAGCAGTGGGAAATCGAGGAGGTTTCCCCCGAGAGGATGCCTGAGGCTGCAGCTGAAAGTGACAGGTGGGAAGGGCTCTCGGCCCAGAGCAGCTGTCAGGACAGGGGCGAGGGCAGACTCTGTCCCCAGTCAGTGGGGTCACCACCCTCCCCCACGCTTCAGGCCTCCCGGGTCCCCCAGGAAATGCAACGCTCTTTCAGTGTGACCAAGCTGGCTTCCTCCTCCTCCCCGCAGCTGCCTGCTAAACAGACGGGTTCCACCCCGGGAAAAACAAGCCAAGCGCTGGAACCCCAAGGGATGCCCAAGAACATCACACCGGTGGGCACCACAGTGGACGATGCCCCCTACTTTACACCACGGCCAGCCACCAGGACCTACTCCATGCCAGCCCAGTTCTCCAGCCACTTTGGACGGGAGGGTCCTTCCCTCCACAGTCCCAGTGGCTCCCATCCGGATGACCAGAGCCCTGTCTGTAGTGGCTTCCTGGAGACAAAACCCTCCAGAGGGGGTGTCGTCGGCCTGGTGAACGGGCAGAGCGGGCCTGGGGTGAAGCCCCTGCTGGAGACACCCAGGAACCTTTCAACCACAGATGGAGACACCCTGACCTCCCAGGAGACAAGCTGTCTCGTCACAGACAAAATCCGAGTCACCAGGAGACACTACTACTACGAACAGAACTGGCCTCATGAATCCACCTCATTTTTCTCTGTAAAGCAAAGGATAAAGTCTTTTGAGAATCTGGCCAATTCTGACCGGCCCGCCGCCAAGTCTGGTGCTCTCCCGTCTCTGTCTGTAAGTTCCAAGCCCCCCATTGGGAGGCGCTCGTCTGGCAGCATCCCTTCGGGGAGCCTGGGCCACCCCGGGGAGACAGCGAGGTCACTGAGACGGAGCCTGAGCTCCTGCAGTGAAAGCCAAAGTGAAGCCAGCTCCCTCATCCCCCCGATGATCAAGTCCCCTTCCAGTACCACGCTGACCGTCTCCCGGCAGACCCCAGTGGAGACAAGCAGCAAGGACCCCAGTTCGGATCCAAAGAAATCACCGGGCCCTTCGGGGATCCCCACCCCCACAGTGACCCCAGCCTCTCCCATCAAGAGGAACAAGTCGTCAGTACGCCATGCCCAGCCCTCATCTCTGTCCCGCTCCAAGCTGCAGGAGTTGCGAGCCCTGAGCATGCCCGACCTGGACAAGCTCTGCAGTCAGGACTACCCGGCCGAGCCCACAGCTGTGCTTTTCAAAACAGAGCTGGAAATCATCCCCCAGAGGTCGCTTGGCAGCCCTGGTGGAGCCATTTCTGGACTCAATGGATCAGCTGGGAACTGTGCCTGGCCAGGGGGTGACAGCCCTAAAGCCAGTGAGCCAGGGCTACTGGGTTCAGGCAACACCACCCAGGATCTGCCCTCCGGAAAAAGCTGGTCAATTACGTAGGTATCTGCTGACCTCCCACCTCTTTTATTTAAATACTTTTTTTTGGGGGGGGGGGAGGGGATAGCTTTAGATTTATAGAGAAGTTAGTTATACAGCTAATAGGAGAGGTCTTGGATGTCTCTCATCCAGTCTCCTCCAGTGTAGCACCTTACATCACCAATGGGCTATTTGCCAAAAGTAAGAAATGAACATTCACACACTAATAGCTAAACCAGTCATTGTTCTGATTTCATCTGTTTTCCCAGAAATGTACCTTTTCTAGTTCAGGAAGCAATCCCATAGCAGTTGGTCCCTTTTGTTTTGAGTATCATTGCTGAGAAAATGAAGGGCTTACAGGCAAGAGTGTTAGTCAGAATGAAGCTCTGAGGGAGACAGAGGCTTACAGGGATATGGCACTGAAATTAAGCCCAAGCAAGACTTGAGAGGGCAGCTATACCTTAGGACAGGACTACAGTCAAGCAAGCTCTCACAAGTCTATATGGGGAATATTTTTAAATGCATCAGAAACATTCTGTTTAACACCTACGTGGGTTCCCGAACATCTTGGAAGAATCCCTTGCATTTTCCTTTGTTGTTGTTATGTGCCGTGGAGTCGGTTCCGACTCATAGCGACCCTGTACAGGGTTTCCGAGGCTGTAAATCTTTACGGGAGCAGAAAGCCTCATCTTTCTCCCGCGGAACAGCTGGTGGTTTCGAACTGCTGACCTTGCGGTTCGCAGCTGTTGGTAGTGAATGAAAATTCCTGCTTAGTGTGTGGGTTCAAGTAGTTTGGTGTATGTGTTATGACCAAAATAAAGCATGGGAATCGGAACACACTTGCCACAGAGTGAAAAGGAGATATTTTTTAATGCAATCTTATAAATGTAGAAATGGCTTTTTCCTTTAATTCTCTTCAAATGTGTTTATATTATCTAGTTTGGCTCAACTTCTTGTCTCAGTGGGAGCCCAGCGAAGGTTACAATCCATTCTATCCTCAGTGGGGTCAAAATCTACCGTCCTTACTCTCATTCAGGAAGCGAAGACACAATCAGAGGTGAGTCAAATACCAGAAACTCGGCACATGAACATCTTAACACAGGCCTGGTGATGGGACCTTTTACATGTTGGTCAGGGTGGCTGGTGTGTGATGCTCACTTCTGAACACACACAGACGTATTTCCTTTCGCTCCCATCATTTTGAGTGAAATCCTTCTTCAAACGCATCCCGTATTTCCTTGACTTCACCAGCATCCGCTAGTGGGAAGTGGCTTGTTCTGGATTCAGGAAATAAGAGCATAGTGGTTGCCTTGCACTGGGACCCAGGAGGATTCTTAAGGCCTATCTCATGGCTGGTTGGTTGATGAGTTGGTTGGTTGGTTGGTGAATGGATGGGTGAACTTGAGAACTTGTCTACTCTAAGTATGACATGTGGCATACATATAATGTGTAGCAAGCCTGGAGTTTATTGAGATTGTGTCTACGATATGGTATAACTAAGGTCCTTTGAATTAAGCCTGTGTTTCCTTCCTTCCTTCTTACCTGTGCACTTCTTTTACAAGTTATCAGATCAACAACAACAAAAAACTCACTGCCATCAAGCCAACTGTAACTCAGAGGCTGTGCATCTCTGTGGGAGCAGAAAGTCTCATCTTTATCTCACAGAGTGGCTGGTGGGTTTGAACTGTCAGTCTTGCAATTAGCAAATCCAGTGCTTATTCCACAGCACCACCAGGGCTCCATAAGATCAACAGATTAGATCTATTTGGGGAACCTAAGATAAGCATGGAGTCCTGGTGTGGCGCTATAGGACAAGTATTGGACAGCAAGGTCAGTTTGAATCGCAAGGTTGGTGGTTTAAACTCACAGCCACTCCTTGGAAACCCTATTCAGGGTCACTATGAGTTGGAACCAACTCGACGGCACTTAACAACAACAAGGTAAGCACAGTGGTCAAACATGGACTAGAGAGAGGGAGACGTGAGTTTTTTAAAAGCAGCAGTTACTGCAGTTGTAGGTATGATCAGAGAACTGAACTGAGTGGTACCAGAGAGAATGAAGGAGGGGGCCCAGGTTAGTTTATAGATGTGACACAGTTGGTGACAGCTAGATGTTGTTGTTGTTATTGTTAAGTGTCCTCGAGTCAGTTCCGACCTATAGCGACCCTGCATAGGGTTTCTGAGGAGCAGCTGGTGAGCTTGAACCACCGACCTTGTAGTTCAAACGACTTTGCAGTCCAGCGCGTGAACCCACAGCACCACACCAAGACTCCTAGATGTAGAGGTGACGAACTGTGCTCCGTGATGACTGCAGTGTGCCCAGCCTGAGACACCAGCTCTTTGGAGCTGGCAGGAGCCCAGTCAGGAAGCAGAGGGAAGAGAGCCTGTGTGCAGGGAAAAGCTGTGGGTTCAGTTCCAGATTTCCTGAGGCTAAGACGACTGTGGAATGTTGAGTTAGAAATGAGGGTGGAAGCCAAACAGCTCAGAAGTGAACAAGTGAATTTTCTTGTCTTTGGTTCTTCTTCTTCTTCTCCTTGTCATTGTTAAGTGCCTTCAAGTAGGCTTTGACTCACAGTGCCTCCATACACAACCAAATAAAACACTGCCTGATCCTATGCCATCTTCACAACGGTTTGAGCCCATTGTGGTTGCCACTGTGTAAGTCCATCTTGTTGAGGGTCTTCCTCTTTTTCACTAACCCTCCACTTTACCAAACACAATGTCCCTTTTTCCAGGGAGTGACGTGTCCAAGGTACAAGAGACAAAGTCTTGCCATCCATGCTTCTAAGAAGCATTGTGATTGTACTTCTTCCAAGACAGATTTGTTTGTTCTTCTGGTAGTCCGTAGTAGTATCAGGATTCTTTTCTGACACAATAATTCAAATGCACCAATTCTTCAGTGGTTTCCTCATCCATTGTCCAACTTTCACATGCATATGAGGCTACTGAAAACATCACCAGAGCTCCTTAGCCTCAAACTGATACCTTTGCTCTTCAATACTTTATAAAGAGGTCTTTTGCAGCAGATTTGCCAAATGCAATCATTCTTTGCTGCTTCCATGAGTATTGATTGTGGACCCTAGCAAAATGAAGTCTTTGACAACTTCTATCTTTTCTCCATCATCATGATGTTATTTATCAGTCCAGTTGTGAGGATTTTTGTTTTTTATGATGAGGTTCAATCCATATTGAAGACAATGAGGTCTCTCGTTCCACATCTTCTTCTGAATCCAGCTTGAATTTCTGGCAGCTTCCTGTTGATGTACTGCTGGAACCGTTTTTTTAACTTTCTTCTGTAAAATTTTTCTTGCATGTGATAGTAATGATACTGTTCAATGATTTGAGCATTTCATTGGGTCATCTTTGTTTGAAATGGTCACAAATATAGATCTCTTCCAATCGGTTGGCCAAGTAGCTGTTTCCCAATTTCTTGGCATAAACAACTGAGTGCCTCCAGCACTGCATCAGTTTGTTGAAACATCTCAATTGGTACTCCATCAATCCCTGAGGCCTTGTTTTCCACAATTGCCTCCATTGCAGCTTGGACTTCTTCCGTCAGTATCATTGGTTCTTGATCATATGCTAGCTCTTAAAGTGGTTATACATTGACCATCTCTATTTGGGACAGTGACTCTGAACATTCCTTCCATCTTTTTATGATGCTTCCTGCATCAGTTGATATTTTGCCCATGTTGTTGTTGTTAAGTGCCATCAAGTTGGGTCTGACTCATAGTGATCCTGTATAGGGTCTCCGAGGATCGGTTGGTGAGTTTGAACCTCCGTCCTTGTAGTTCAAATTGACCTTGAAGTCTAGCACATTAACTCACAGCGCCACACCAGGAGTCCATGGAATCTTTTAAAAGCTCAAGTCAAGGTTTGAATTTTTCTTCATTTCTTTCAGCTTGAGAAATGCTGAGCGTGCACTTCTCCTGGTTTTCTAATTTCAGGACTTTGCACATTTCATTGTAATACTTTACTTTTCCTTCTCAAGTTGTCCTTACAACTTTTCTGTTCAGCTCTTTGACTTCCTCTTTTCTTCCATTTGTTTTAGCTTCTCTACACTCAGGAGCATGTTTCAGAGTCTCTTCTGACATTCACTTTGGTCTTTTCTTCTTAATGACCTTTTGCTTTCTTCATGGATGACATTCATGGTGTCATCCCACAACTCCTCTGGTTTTCAGTCATTAGTCTAATACATCAAATCTGTTCTTGAGATGGTCTCTAAATTCAGGTGGGATGTATTCAAGGTCAGATTTTGGCTCTCATGAACTTGTTTTAATTTTCTTCAGTGTCAGCTTCAACTTGCATATGAGTAATTGATGGTCTGTTCCATTCTGCCCCTGGCCTTGTTTTATCTGATGACATGGAGTTTTTCCATTGTCTCTTCCCCCAGATGTAGTTAATTTGATTCACGTAGTCCATCTGGTGAGGTCCAGTTGTATGTTCTTGTTGCTAGGTGCCATCGAGTTGGCTCTGACTTATAGTGACCCTATGCACAACAGTAGGACCTCTGTCTGGTAGCATAGTGGTTATGAGTTGGACTGCTAACCTCAAGGTCAGCAGTTCAAAACTACCAGCCGTTCCATGGGAGAAAGATGAGGCTTTCTGTTCCTGTAAAGATTTACAGCCTCGGAAACCCTGTTACAAGGTCACTATGGGTCGGAACTGACTCCACAGTACATAACCACCACCACCACCAGGCACAACAGAGGGAAACACTGCCTGGTCTTGTACCATCCTCACAATTTTTGCTATGTGTGAGCCCATTTCTACTTCTAGGGTGCCAGTCCATCTTGTTGAGAATCTCCTCCTTTTTCTACTGACCTTCCACGTTAGGGACCGTCTCCAGGGACTGGTCCCTCTGATAACATGTCTGAAGTATGAGAGACAAAATCTTGCCATACTGGCTTTCAAGGAGCATTCTGGCTATACTTCTTCCAATACAGACTTGTTTGTACGGCCTTTTATTTTATTGATAAAACATTGCAATGAATAAGTTGTTGGTGTTTCAAAATTCTATCATTCAAACTGTTGACCTTGCAGTTAGCAGCCCAACACAACCCACTACACTACCAGGGCTCCTGGTCTGTGCAGGCCAGTGGAGATGATCCTATTACAGACAGTATTGTACATCTAAATTGATCTTTTTTTTTTTTTTAATGTTTTATTGTGTATTATGTGATAGTCTACATGGGGGAACATTAGTTTTACATTCATCCCATCATACATCGTCTCATTGCCATAGTTACCATCCCATCCATGCATCATCACCCAATCAAAGGGAATACCCTGCAATCCCGCCCCCCCCTCCCCTCACGGTCCTCAGCACACAGCCCCTCTCCCTCTCTGGATCCCTAGTCCCCAACCACTCCATCTCTTCATGTCATCCTCTCTCTTCACATCATCCTCTCTGTCTCAGTCTCAGGCCTCACTGCTCCTCTGGGTGGGGTCCCGCTCTCCGCTCTTCTCCTTTGATGGTCCCAGGGCCCTCCGTTCCTAGACTGAAAGGCTAATCACTCCCCTCCTTGCTATAGAATGTCCATCTTTACATTTCCAGTCCTCACAAATCAGTTCTGGTAACAATTATTCACCCTTGCATCCCAAGGACCCATCTGAATTTCTTCAAAATAGATCTTGAAATGCTCTTTTTAATGATGAATTTGATACCATTCCTCTTCACTTTGTCATTCCTGCCTTGGTAAATCCAATGATTGATTCAAAATGTCCATTTCAACTCACTAATGCCAAAGATACTGAACTTTATGCATTTCATTTCATTATTGATGACTTCCAATTTTCTTAGATTCATGCTTAGTGTATTTCATGCTCTGATTATTAATGGATGTTTCAGCAGTTTCTTCTTATTTTGAGTTGGTGCTCCATCAGTCCCGAAAGCTTTGCTCCATTCACATCATTAAGGTCAACTTTACTTTGAGGAGGCAGCTCTTCCCCAGGTGAATTTTGAGTGCCTTCCAGCCAAAGGGGCTCATCTTCCTGCGCTGTGTATCTGGCAGTGTTCCACTGCTATTCATAAGGCTTCACAGTGGCTAGTCATTCA